GGGCCGGGGGGGGGGGGGGGGGGGGGAGGTACAGTAGTTTCACTTTTTCTTGTAGTTTTCGTGGGTTCACTCCTCACGCACTGTTTCATTCCCTCGTTTTTTTCTACGGCGGATCTCTACTACTGTATGTGTTGTAGCCTGTGCTGCACCCGGGTATATGCTGATGACCAATGTGGAGTCAGCCTTTCGTCAGTGTGTGGTTGCTTGCGGCACCCAACACCGCTGGCTTAAGCTCCCGCCAAACCAGAAATGTGGTATGAAACACAGTAACGCTTCACTCCAATCAATCCATTGGAATCCTCCTCCTTGCATTTTCTGCCGCTGCCATGCGTATGCGTACCTGAACAAAACCTACCCCGCACAGCTCAAGGGGTACCCCTCATACCTCATGTTTTTTTTTTTTTCGTGCTCCTCTGAAATACGGGCGCTAACGAACACACCGCTCGTTCCCCACATAGGTCCGTGTCGTTCGCCGATATTGCCGGGGCGGACGAGGCCAAGGTGGAGCTGAAGGAGCTTGTGGACTTTCTAACATTTCCTGCGAGGTATATGTTGTCTACGGCGCAGGATGTAGATGGCAATCTACACTCGCCCGTAGGCGGCCGTGTGTGGCAAGCAAACAGCCCGTGCCCGGTTGTGCGGGTTCGATAACGTCTCCGACACGCAGCGGTAGGGGAAGAGTGGCAAGCGCCGCCAATCGTGGTGTGGCAACGTAAAACCTAAGGGACGCTTGTGTGTGCTGCGATGATGCTTGCCGACACCTCTGTTGGCCTCCGCTCTTATCGCCCGTACGGCACAACACCAACCGGCCTGAGCCATGACCTCGATCTTGGCTGCTGCCTCTGCTTGATCGTCTTGTTACTGCCCACTAGGCCTCAAAGGTCACTGCCCGCTGGGCGCTTTACTCCAACGTCGTCTTGTTCTTCTGATTGCTTGCTCGTAATTGCTGATTGTTCTCGTCATGGTTTTTATCATTTCCGTATTTTTCATTGTTTTTTGTTCTGCCGCGTCTACACCCCGCGGGCCCGCGCGCGCACCAGGTACGCGGACATCGGTGCCAGGCTCCCCAGGGGGGTCCTTCTCTCGGGGCCTTCCGGTACGGGGAAGACCCTGCTGGCGAGGGCGATGGCGGCGGAGGCGAGAGTCCCGTTCTTCTCGTGCTCCGCCAGCGACTTCGTCGAGATGCTCGTGGGACGAGGAGGTGCGTGTGCGGAGCCGAGTTTCTTGTTGTCGGGGGTGTGGCTGATCATGGGGGGGGGGGGGTTGGCACGGTTGTTTGGCGCCGTGGTTTTGGCTCTGTTGGGGTTGGGGTTGATGTCGTCCGTTTCGGATTTTGGAAAAGAGCGCGCGGTGCGTGAGTGCGTTGCGTTACGCTTGCGTTCTGGGAGGTGGGCGGCGAGCTTCTTTATTCTTTTGTCTCGTCTCTCCGTGAACTGCCCTAGCCAGTAGACAGGCTATTTGTGTCCTTCCGTCTGTTCCGTTGTTGTTGAAGCCTCGGGGAGCTCGAACTGCTTCACTCCTGGTTTGGCGTCACTTGTTGCTTTCATGGTAGCTCCCCCCAGTCACTTTTCTTTTGTGTGAAATTGGTCGTTCGTGCTGTTTTAGGCCCTTGGAATTGGCACACAGCAACAGGTGTCCCTTGTATGTGATACCGCGTGGCGCGGATGGAAGTTCAAGGTGCAGTCTCATGCTGTGCACAATGCGGGGTGCCCGGAATAACGCTGGCCACATTCCTTGGCACTCCTCGGCCTTGTACAGGGCCTACGTTTCTTTTCGCACCCATATTCTGTCCATCCTGCTATCGGTGTTCTCCTTCTTATTTCTATATTTTTTGTTGTTTGGTGGTGAACAGCCGCAAGAGTTCGAGACCTGTTTCAGAGGGGTGTTGCATCGCAACCTAGCATCATCTTCATCGATGAGCTTGACGCTCTGGCCAAGGTTCGGGGCGGCATAAACTCTAACGACGAGCGGGAGCAGACCTTGAACCAGCTCTTGACGGAAATGGATGGTTTCGACAGCGAGGTTAGTTCTTGGTTGTCGTTTGTATTTGTTGTGATGTCATCGTCGTCGTCGGCCGAATCGTCGCTGTTGTTGCTTTCTGTGATGGCGCGATAGTGCTGTTGCTGCTGTTGCAGTTTTAGCTCGTTGGTTGCTGTTGATGCCGTGATCGTTGATGCTGCTGTCGTCTCTGTTGCCGTTTCACAGCACCAGGTTGTTGACTGGTCTTGATCCTAAGAACAATCTCTCCTTGTTCCCACCCGGGCGTCTCCGGGTGGCGATGTGCACGCACGTTCCGTGCAACAGGGGCGGAGCGTGCTGGTGGTGGCAGCCACGAACAGGCCCGAGGTTCTCGACCCCGCTCTCACGAGGCCGGGACGTTTCGACAGGCACGTGACGGTGGGACTGCCGGACGCACCGGGGCGAAGGGCGATCTTGGAGGTGTGACCAATCGCTGCCGTCCTGCTCGCCCGGCTTGTTGTTGTTGTTGTTGTTGATTGTTGTTGTTGTTTGTTGTTGTTTGTTGTGGTTGTTTTTGACGTTGGTGGTGCTGTTGCTATTGTTGTCGGTGATGTTGTTTTTGGTGGCGTCCAGAATACTTAGGGTACGAAAGCTAAATAGTGAGCATAGCGTGGGAAGTGTGTGTCGTGTTGTGGCTTTGTCTTGTTTGTTCATAAGGTATGGTGTTGTGACTTTGTCTGTTTCCTCCTCTCGTTCTGGTTCTCTTTGACCTTTCGTCGTTTCTTTCAAAAGGTGCACTGCAGGAAGGTGCGGATGCAGGGGGAACGCCAGGACACCATCGCTGTGCTGGAGAACATCGCACGCGTTACAGCGGGCTTTTCGGGGGCGGAGCTCGCAAATGTCGTCAACGAGGCGGCCATTCTCGCAGCAAGGTAGCTTTCGTTTGCCCCCCCGCCCCAAAATGCACATGCCCCCCCCCTGTGCGAGAGCAGCTATATCCAACGCTGTCTTCTTTCCTTATGCCAAAACCAACGAATGGAATGGTGTTCCGAAACTTGTTGGGGCCACGAATCTCTCCATCGTTCTTGCGACAAGATGGCATGCACCTTGACGGACGGACTGGGGGTCGGGTTTTTCTTCGGGCGCGTTGCTCCGTGTTGTCAGCGGCGATCTCCTCGACAACACATTATTTTCTATCCCTACGCCAATGACATGATGCTTGCCTCCCTCGTCCTGAGCGTTGCGGTCGTGAATGAAGATAGCCTGAGTGGTCTCGAAGCAGCGAGTGACTGAATTGCCCCCGAGGCGATATGGCGTAGTGGAAGGATAAAACAGGGCAGCAACAGAGTGCAAGGCACTATTTAGTTCTCCTGTTTGAGCAAGGGGTGCAAGACATCGCAAGTGAAAACAACGCTATCGTCATTTCCGCTCCCTGTGTGGCTCACGCGTCGCTTGTGTTGCACGTGCCGGCAAGCGTGCCGTGCACCGCACAGAGTTATCCAGCCAGCCAGCCCTGGCGTGTTCCGCCCCTACGTGTAGAGATAGAAAGAGCCCGCGGCTTCGAGGCGTCGAAGCCCACAACCAACTCGAAGCGATGAGAGCTCGCCCTCGAAATCAGTCAGAGAAACAACCACAGAAACTGCAACGAAACCAAAAAAAGGGTCAAATCCCAAAGAGTCCTTTCTCTAACCATACGCGCGCTTCTCTTTTTTTTTTACCCCAACTCCTCCTCCATGAAACAAACCGGTTGGTTCGGTAAGACACTCGGAGGCGGAAGTGGGAGCGGGGCACCTGCGGATGGCGGTAGCTCGCACGAGGGCCTACCGAGAAGAGTACGGCGTCGCCCCTTCCTCCGGCTTCGTGGATGTCGATTGATTGAGCTTCGATTTGTCTGAGAGGAGACGAGCGAATGAAGCGTGTATCGTTTGGGAGCACTCGAGGAAAGTTGTACAGCATGCAGCGGAGGGGAAGGGAAGAAGGGTGGGTGAGGCAGGTTGAGAGAGAGGTCAGCCGCAGCTTTCTCGTGTGCGCGTTCAGGGAGGCGCAACCGCGAGAAAGCAAGCGGAACTGCCGGCTAATAGTTTGCGCTGACTGTTTCGTGTGTTGCGCCGGTCTGAGAGCAGACTCGGGTACGCGCCGTGCGATGTTGCCCGCGATGTAAGTAGTCGTCGCTCACGGATCGCGTGGTTCACCCCGATAGGTATGCGTGCGTACCGCGGAGGCATGCGTGTGCTACCCCGACGGTATGCGTGCGCTTACATACCTTGCCCGTCTTGCACAGAAATCGAAACACAACAAGCGGATCGTGAAACGGGGAAGGCAAGGGGGGCATCGAGGGCAATCTGTTCACTACGAGGAGTCGAGGTTGTCTCGATGCGCCCATCCCGAATCTAGGTAAACATCAAGGACAGTAGTTGGCAACGAAAAACGTATGGGGCGGGATTTCGGAGTGCGAAAGATCGCGCGGGTTGCGAATGAACCATGCAACTGTTGGGTGGGCTTGCTCTGTTCATATTATTGGGGGTTTGGTGAGGGAACCGCATCGCACGGACTACCGTCTACCGTGTGTCAAGCTGGTCTAATGACGAGAGGCGGCGTGTTGGCGTGTCAGCGCGCTGGTGGTGTGAACGAAACGGGTGGGGTGGCGGTTCTTGCATGTTTTTGTCGAGGTTTGAAAAAATGGCACACTTTTGCCGCGTAAATGCGAAAGGAACACATGCCAACCGATGTATTGAATGTGTAATATAGAGAATCCCCGACTTCATCGGTAATGTCTTTAATGTGTAATATAGGAAATCACGGATTTCATCGGCAAGTGTTGAAAGGATCATCGTCATTTGCAAATGGAGTAACTTTCAATGGAATAGTTATGTATGGTAATTGTTAACGAGTGGTATCCGAACAAGAAACGAAACTGAGCACAAGCGGCGAAACGGTTTTCCTATCCTTGCGGCGCCAACGGGACCCCGAGCCCGAGCCCGCTTGGGATGTCTGATTCTCCAAAGCGTGCTGACTAGTTTTCATGAGCAGGCATCGGAACCAATGGATCACCTGCCTGAGCAAAGACCGCCCTCCCCTACAGAATAGTTTGTGAATTAAAGAGAGCAAGGTGTCAGGTTGTGAAACGGAACGCGGGCACTGATATTTTGACTTGGTCTGCCGAGATGCACACCACAGCTGCCTGAACTACTTGGAGCAGTTTGCATTGCTTCGGCGTACTCGACAGCGACTAGATTTGAGTCCAGGAACAACGCGCTGCGGACATTCTTGCGTAGAGGGGGGTAGTAAGACCATTCCTAAGCCACGGCTGATATGCACGAGGAGAGACAACAAGAGGGGGCACGAGCTGGGTCTGAACTGTGCAGTCAGAGGTCCCAACCCAAACCCTCGGGGTCCTATCCCCCCGACCTTGTGGCCAACTCGAGGCCCAATGGGGGCTTGGTTTTCCCCAGTTGCAAATTGGGGGTTCGGCTGCGGCTAGAAAACCTTCTAAGATCTTTTCTGATTTTTTCGAATGCGCACACGAACGTGCGTACATGAACGAATGACACGAGCATGATGATCCCGGTAGGATCTGCGTGTTGGGCTCTCACGTTTACGACGAAAGCGTTTCATACATTTGTTAATTACGCCTCCTGTTCCGGCCGAAAACTCGTCGTAAGGGGGGCTGGCGTGAAGGTTACCCCCCTCGACGTCACACACTACAGTAGTAGTACAACGCCCCCACACCCGGGAACACAAATAACCACAACAGGCCCAAAACTGGCCGTCACATCTCAGCCGACGCCATCGGAAGCACCCACCCGTAACTTGTGATCTGTCCGGGTATTCCGTGGCTACTACTGTGGAACGCTTCGCAATATACTCCGGAGTACCTGTTTGTGATGAAAGCATCGCAGTGCGTGGTATGGGTAAGAATAATGGCCTCTTTGATCTGTTACTGTTCTGTAGGGTTGTTTTTTGCCGAGTTCATCCACCATGTATGGCATACGTTGTTCAAGTAATTTTTCGGGGTGGGGGGGTCAATGGTAAAACCGGGTGGTCATCAATAAAAAACATGGCACTCATGTGCAAGATAAAAAATAGATACACACACAACAAGCCGGTGGATTCTAATCATCGACAAAATCAGCAACAGATGCCCCATCATGGCACAATTTTTTTTTTTCGGAACACTATCTCGTGCAAGAAGACGGTGGGTCTAATACTCCTATTTCCCCCCCCTCCACACACCCAGACCACCAGACCACCAAACACTCTCCTCCACCGAGCGCCCTCAAGATCGAGCTGCGCGCCCCAAGACCCAACCATCGCAGCACCACGAGGCCGTCCTCCCTCATATTCAGGAGCCCGATCCTGTGGGGCGAAGATGCAGGCCTCGGCAGAGCACACCTGTTTCCAACGGAAGCTGCGGCAGCCAGCGGTGTGGGTTGATCACAGGCGAGAAAATATTGCCATGCATGATGATGATATGCGTAGCCAGCCTCATTTGATTCTCCGTCTCTCTGAGAGCTCTCAGATTGCTCTGCTAAGCCTCTCGGCCGGGCATTAAGAGTGCGCCTGCGAGCAGAAAGAGGCGCATCGACGCTCTCTGTGTTGTCGGCTTCCCGTCCTTGGTGTGGCGAAGGGCGGGTTTGGCGCGTGAGAGGATCTCAAAACAAACACAGAAAAGAAAGAGAGCAAAAAAAGAAAAGCCGCTTTCTTTCAAATGGACTGGCTGCGTCACAAAGAACCTTCTACTCTATCTATCTATCTTACCACCGCCGATGGCCGGCGGTAAAGCCCGACATCATCGGTAGTTACAGCAGTACTAGGTCTTAGCCAAAGAAGGATTCTTGCTCTCTCTGCCGTGCAGCCTCGTTGCCGGTGGTGAAAGGTGGCTGGCAGCTTGTGAATGCAACGGGAAGTTGCGCCAACAAGCAGATGATGCTGACTGAACTAAAAAACACGCGGTACACGAGCAGGTGCCTACTTTGCTTTACTTGTTGTTGAATGTTGAACCAATCCCTCCGATCTATCTATCCGGTCATCCCTCATGTACAGATATTCTCCCGCCAGCGTGTGTAGGAACATCTATGCATACGTCTCTCCCACCGCTTTCCACAGAACGGAAGTCGAGACATGGCCGACACCCACACCGCACTCCACGCTCTGCCTTTGCTACCCGACGCTCTGTTCTTTCTTGCAACCTCGGATGATCCACAGGCAAGCAAGCCATTTTTCCAGGTGATGTACAAGACATACGCAATGGTAATTTTATACGCACTCAGCATGGGCAATCAGCTCGGATCTACGAACGGACCTGGACTACTCGGGGATCTTTGCCCTGTGCATTATCCTTTACTCACGAGCCTACATACCTCGCCTGCTATCGTACCCCCTGTCGTCGACTGACAGCGGCTACGGACGATGCAGACACTAAACGTGACCTGCTGTAGCTTCTTCAAGACCCGGCTGTGGGCGCTTACCAAAGAATGGCGGCCAGAGAGGGGGGCGGACTCGCCTGCTGCGTGTTTAGCCGATGAAACAACCAGATCAGAGGCCTGGTGTTAGGATGATCCGAACTGGGGGTAGCTTGTCGCAAGACGTGTGTTGAATAGGGTGTCGGCAACTCGGCGAGCTCGCGCCAAGGAGGAAAGACGTTTTGGGTTTGTTGTATAAATTTCTTCTTCACATGAACACATGAACAGCACGCACACGCGCACGCACCATCATTGAGGGGGCGACGCAGTATACAACACACACCCTGGAGATATATTGTATTCCAAGTACCACACAATCCTACGGTATTCCGCGCAACATCAGTCAATGGGAACATCCCGTATCACCCACTTGGCATTGCTACAAGTATATCTATCAGCCCCCCTGCTTGTGACCATGCCATGTCTTTTTCGATCCTCAATAGCTCCAAAACACAAGAAAATAAAATCAGAAATTCAACTCAACTCCAGAACAATAGCCTTCTAGGCTAGACATCAATACCCATCCCCGATCATACCAGTTATACTTCTTCGAACTTCAGCAAACTAATTGCCCCCCAGCCTAGAACACCATCCATTGGGAAAAACCGTAGGCAAAAATGAAAAATGCTGCCACCCTAGTTGTTTGATCACACACAAAATAAACCCAAACATCAAGATATTAATCCATACTCATCACGAAGTTACGATGAAACTCAAAATTTCCCACGTGAAGTGCCTTCGTGAGGAAGTCAGCATGTTGATACGATGTCTCTCTTGCGGACGTGATGAAGGAAGTGTTGTTTCTGAGGCAAGTATGGCGTTTCATGTTGCCAGAAGCAGGTATGCCGCGTATTCCGGTGTTCGAGGATAACCAGGGGGCTATTCAGTTGGCGCAGAACCCGATTAGCAACAGTAACTCGAAGCACATCGACGTAAGGCACCACTTTATCAGGGATTTGGTACGCAGGAAGGAATTTCGATCGTTCCAGCCATTTTCTCTAGTGGTTGCCCCCACGGAATCATGGAGGATATTCAGAAAACATTTTCGAGTGCACGCACACACAGAAAAAACTAGCCTCCAGCTAGAGTGGCAGGAGTTGGCGCAGAAGGTAGACCAACATCCGAAAGAGTACCTGTCGAGAGGGTGGGTGCTACGGCAAAGATTATCGTCATGCGGCGTGACGATGACAGAGGATGATGCTAACAGACATCTCGTGCGCAACCTCCTCCCGGAATATGATGTATACACAGGTTTTCTCATGTCCGA